ACTAAATTAACCTGGAAGAACTGTAAAAGTGGAACATGAGACTATGTTCTAAAAGACCTCTAGAGCATTTCCAAACTGACTTCATACAGTTGTCTCTTCCTCTACAGTTTACGAATACGTTCGATTAAAATAACACATTCATTTTTAGGATGGGTCAAAACATTTCCCTGTTGAAAGGCCACATTACCATGACTACCTAGGACATTCCAAATTATTGATCATGTAATAGGGGCACATTTAATTGGAATAATTATTAATGAATTTGCATTACATAAGGCTCTACTTCTTACTTAAAAATATTTTTGTCTTTACCATTCTCAAACCACAGGAAGAATGCAAAAGGTATTAATAGAATTGGGAAGGGAGAGCCTTTAAAGAACTTAAAGCATAGTCCACAGAATTAAGCACTAACCACAAGAACCTTTAAACAAGTAGATGAAGTAACACACTTCTTCCCAAGATCATTTGAATAAAACTTTACCATAAGTTACATTCTTTGCAGATTCTTGAATTTGTAGCTTTCCTCTAGTGATTTAAGGTTGTATACTTGGTTTTTTTTTTTGGGGGGGGGAGAGGTTTTTCGCTATAGAGTGCGTGCACTTGCCAGACAGACAGAGAGAGACAGAAAGTGAGAAATCACCCCCCGGGGGGATGGTCACGCCGCAATCCCTTCTCCTCCATTCTCCTCTCGGGATCTTGGGCATGCATGCACACGTGCCCGGCGTGAGTTTTAAGCCACCAGGTTCGGGACGCGAACCGCGGTCAACTACGTGGGAGTCCAGCGACATAGCCATTATGCTAACTGCTGGTTCCCAAGGTTGTATACTTCTGACTTGGCCTATTATGTTCTTCTTATTATGAAGAATGACTTGCCCATGTTGAGAATTTAAGGAAAATGTGCTCAAACTACCAGACATACAACATTATTTGTCACAACACCTAGAGACAAGATACCTATAGTTTCACTAAGAGTGATTAATTACATCTCTTGTGGAGCTCCTATGTAGAAATCATAGTATTTAATGCCAGCCCAGAATCAATTTTAGTTATTCTCTACAGCTACTGAGCCATTCTACAGGTATTATTCCCCAACAGCCTCAATGAGTTGTATATTTTCACATGTACTCCAAAAGTATAAACCCCTTCTGGAAAAAGACTCTTGAAGATAATGGAATTATACCACTCCAAGCGGTCGTCCAAGAAAATGATTCCTCATGTTGGCTGAAATAGTAATTAAGATAGCTTATGCCCCAGGGTCACAATAAACCACTTTATGTTTATTAACCCAAGCAGTTTAATTAATTATATAATTTAAAAGTCTTAGATTTTCTTTTGACCAACCTGAGAGGAGTCTGCCCCAATGCTAGGACTTCAGGCAGTACCTGATTAATGATATAAGTAAAACAATCTACAACTAATTATAAGAGGTAATTACAAGAGGTTAAAGAAGGAAGACTCAGGGAGTCTTGAGACTTGTTTGCCTGGCCACAGCTGGAAACTCTAATGATTTTAGAATGCCTTCCGGTCACTTCTTCTAATACTTCTGACTAGCCATGTTTGTCTCAGGGTTTTTTAAACTGCTGCCCAGAGGTTTAAAATGCTTTTGTATGGGGGCCAGCATGTGCCATAGTGGTTAAGGCACTGGACTCCCACATTGTTAACTGTAGTTCAAGCACCAGAACAGGAGGAACCAGCGAGGACCCAGTGGCTTAAGACTCATGCCAGGCACATGTGTGTGTGTACCCAAAATCCAGAGAGGAGACTAAAGAAGGGATTGAGGCATGGCCATCCCCACAAGAGGGGGAGATTTCTTGCTTTCTGCCTCTCTATCTCTCTCTGTCTTTCCAACGAGCACATGTGCCCTGTAGCAAAAATTTCTAAAAAAAAACAAAAAAAAAGCTTCTGTATAGTCACTGTCTAAACAGATAATTTTATATGATTCAAAGAGAAAACCAGGATGAAACCATGATCAACGTACAAATTGAAATCAGATCTCCACAAATAAAACTTCCAAGAGAATCAACAACAATGTCTGAGTCAATCTTTGATGGTTTCTTCTACAGTGTTAGCTGGATGAAAATCCAAAGGGGAAACAGAATAAAAACTTTCTCACAAACTTTGGAAAATATGGTTATTCTGTTTCATGGCGATATTACCCATAAGAGCAAGTTTTAAACCTATTCAGTTGATCAGAAACAACCATCAGAACTGGTTTTAAATCTGTTTGATCAGAAACAACTCCATTTCAATGAACATACTTCTACAAAGCAACCAGTATCAGTTTCTCACATTTGGAAGTCAGGAGACCAGTGATGGATTTATATCAATAAATGCAGGGGCCAGCAGGTGGCATGGTGGTTAAGGTACTGGACTCCCACATGGCCAACTGTGATTCAAGTTTTGGACCTGGCAGCTTGAAAATCATGCCAGGTATATGTGTGTGTGCACCCAAAACTCCCACAGGAGAACTGAGGAGAAGGGATTGTGCAATGGCCATCCTCTCTCAGGAGGGTGATTTCTCACTTTCCCTCTCGCTGCCTCTCTCTCTGTCTCACCAGCAAGCACATGCACAAAAACGAAACGAACAAACAAAAACTTAAAAAAAAAAAAAAAACATCAATAAATACACTGTTAAGTGACAACCACTCACCATTCTCACCTGAGTGAGTAACCATGTTTCTCCAAATGTTGTCAAATCACTGATGCCACTAAAAGCCAGATCGTATCTGAAACCCATACCACTCTCAGGTCTTAGTAAATAAAATGAGCATTCTGCCCTGAAAGGAGAAACTATGCCTGATCAGTATAGCTCTCCTTTACAGTAACCAATGAATTCAACTTTGTCTTTTTCATTTCAATTATTGACTGTGGTCTCATCATCCTTTGTCTCTTTCCACTCTCTCTATTTTTTTTTTTTACCTTTCAAATTTTAAATGATGTAAATATATTACTTATTCAATAAATAAAATGTTATTTCAGAAATGCTTCTTGTCTGTGGTTTTAGAAGTAAATCACATCAGTAAACGCTATAAAGAGTCTTAAACTGCTTTTAATTAATTTCTCGATTAAGTGAAAACATGTAGCAGAATTGGTATTATTCAGAATTAAATACTAAATTTATACTCTGGTTAAAATGTGTAATTCAAGGCCAGCCCCATAGCACAGCAGTTAAGTGCTGTGTGGAAAGCCCACCCTACATGGTCAACCATGGTTCAGTGTCGGCATGCCCCAAATCCTCACAGAATGGAGAAATGGAGAAGGGATTGTGACATGACCATGATGCATTGGGGGTGTGGGGGATAGCTTCTTTCTCTGTTTCTTTGTCTCTCTCTGGCAAGTGCATGTACCCTTTGGCAATTAAACAAAATGAATGTTAAGGTTAAAGTAGGATATAAAAAGTTACTAGGCCAGTCTAGTGGTTAAGGGAGCCAGACCCCATGTGACCAGCCATATGGTTTGAGTCACATCCCCAGAAGATGGCTTGAAAAACATTCCAGGTGCATGTCCCAATCTCAACAGGATGAAGAAATGGAGGAGAAGGGATTGCAGCATAATCACATCCCATTAGGAGATGCTTTCTCTCCCTCCTTCTCTCTCTCTCTCTGGCACACGACACAACCTCTGAAAATTAAAATGAAGTTACAACTATTTATCACCTCCAAATTCTAAAATATGACAAAAAATGCATAGAGAACTCTGAGAAAACAGGTTTATGAGAGATACTGAATGATTTAAAAATAGGAATTAAACCAAAGTCTCAATGCAGATAATACTTCAAATTTGTGAATGCTAATGTTACCCTCTTAAGTCAACTCATGTATGGAAAAGGACAGATACTACTTTTAATTTTGAGAGTATAAACAAACATGTCATTATCTAACATATGGTGTGAAACTAAAACTTTTAAATTCTACATTTTAAACCTGACACATAAATATAGAATTTGGGAAGTAAGGCCTGTGCCAGCAGGTGGCATGGAGATTAAGGCACTGTACCACACATGGCCTGGTGTTTGAGTCCCAGACCTGGTAGCCTGAAAATCACGCTTGGCATATGTGCATGCACACTCAAAACCTCAAGAGGAAACTAGAGGAGAAGGGACTGTGGTGTAGCCTCCCACCAGGGTGGTGGTGGGGTGACACTTGACTTTCTCTCTCTCTCGGTCTCTCTCAGGCAAGCATATAGGCTATATAGCAAAAACTGAAAAAAAAAAAAAAAGGGCTTTGTTTTTTATTATCTCTTGGTTTATTTCAAGTCTTCCTCAGCTTCTACACCTTTCATGTTAATAATAATGATGACAGCTGATATATACACAATACTTTGTATGAGCCAGCCATTGTGCCAAGTGTTTTACAAATATCAACCCTTTAGGAAGTACCTTTACAACAAGATCAGCATTCTAAGTTCTCATAAGGACACATTTCCTTTATTTTAAGGAAACCTTTATTCTGTTAGACCATTTTCCCAATATAAATTAACTTTAATAACATAAACACCAACTCCAGGACCAGCAAGCAAGTGGTGTGGTGGTTAAGGCGCTAGACATTCCCACATGGCTGACCACGGTTCAAGTCCTGAACCTGGTGGCTTGCTTTCTCACTTTCTCTCTCTCTCTCTCTCTCTGGTCAAATTAAAATAAATGCATGAATAAATGAAATTTAAAAATAATTATTTAAAAATCAATCAATAAATAAACAGCCATCTCTAATTATAAAGTATGCTTTTTTTAATTATATACTTTTCCTCCATGTCATATGCTTGAACTTTTTCATCTCTGATTGATTTATATATATTGGCAGTAACTAAATTTCATGTAAGAGTAGGAATTTGCATATATTAGCAGTATATGCTATATGCTATTGCACCCAGGATTCGTGCATACACTATACAGAAGTTCAAGGATTTGAGTGCTCAACACAAAAGTCACATGTTGGAAAAATGTTCATTGAGTAAAATATAATATGTGCTAATTCCACTGCAAAACTTAAAGAATGCTTTACCTCTGTCAACTCCAGAGCTTTATTGTATCCCATTGAATGCAGAGTTACCCAAAGGTCACGAGGATCTCCTTCTCGATCATTGGCTTCCATTAGATTCAGATCCATAAATCCTTGTCTTGTTAGTTCATTTTTCTTTGTATCAAAATTCTCTGTTAAAAAAAATTCTTTCTCATATAATTTTAAAGTCTGTACATTTAATAAAATGTATATTATATGTTATTATTCACAAATACTCATTTTAAAGGAGGCCTTATAAACCTGTAAGCAATTCAAAAATAGCATAAGAAGGGCCAGCAGATGGCATGATTGTTAAGGTGCTAGACTCCCACATGGTAAACTTCACAGTTCGAATCCTGGATCTGGTGGTTTGAAAATCACACCAGGTGCATGTGCATATGTGCCCAAAATCCCAAGAGGAGAATGGAGGAGAATAGACAAATAGGTCAATAGAACAGAATTGAGAGCCCAGAAACAGACCCACACAATACACTAAATTGATTTTTAAAGAAAATTTTGCCACAGTGTGTATGTACTCACCAGAAAGAGACAGAGAGAGTAAGAGAGGGGGAGTAAGGAAGCACTTTCCATGCTGCATCCCTTCTCCTCTCTCTTTCCTTCCTTTTGGGATTTGGGGTATGTTTTTACAACCAACTAGGTCCAGGACTCAAACCATGCAGTCTGTCATGGGGCATTCATCTGCCTTAACCACTACAGCGAACTAGCCCTCAACTAATATTTGACAAAGGAAAAAAGGAAAAAATGCAATTTAATGGGAAAAGGATAATCTTTTTTTTTTTTTTTAGAGGTTTTTGTTATAAGGCGCGTGAGCTTGCCAGAAAGACAGAGAGAGACAGAAAGCAAGAAATCACCCCCCAGGGGGGATGGCCACACCGCAATCCCTTCTCCTCCATTCTCCTCTTGGGATCTTGGGCACACATGCACCTGTGCCCAGCATGAGTTTAAGCCACCAGGTCTGGGACTCAAACCATAGTCAACTACACAGGAGTCCAGCAACATAGCCATTATGCCACCTGCTGGTCCCAGGATAATCTTGTTAGTAAATGGTGCTCAAACAATTGGATAGCTACATACAAAAAAGTAAACCTAGTCACAAACCTTATACCCTTCACAAAAATTAATTCAAAAGGAGTCACAGACTCAAATGAAAATATAAAAGTATAAAACTTTTTAAAGAAAATATAGAGAAAAAAATCTAGGCAGCTTTCAGTTTAGTGATGAAGTTGTGGATACATCAAAAGTACACAAACCAGGGAACCAGCAGTTAGCGTAATGGCTATGTCGCTGGACTCCCACGTAGTCGACCGCGGTTTGCATCCCGGACCAGGTGGCTTAAAACTCACGCCGGGCGCGTGTGCATGCGTGACCAAGATCCCGAAAGGAGAATGGAGGAGAAGGGATTGCAGCGTGACCATCCCCCCTGGGGGGGTGATTTCTCGCTTTCTGTCTCTCTGTCTCTCTCTGTCTGTCTGGCGAGCGCACGTGCCCTATAGCAAAAATCTCTCCAAAAAAAAAAAAAAAATAGTACACAAACCAAAATCATGATCTATTAGGAAAAAATAAAAGATAAGTGGGACTTCATTAAAATTAAAAACTTAGACTAGCTGGTGGCATGGTGGTTAAGGCACCTGGATCCCACATGACCAGCTGGGTGGTTTGAGTCCCAGACCCAGTAACTTAAAAAACATGCTGAGCATATGTGTGTGTACAAGCCCAAAATCTTGAAAGGAGAAATGGAGCAGAAAAGGATTGTGATGAGGTCATCCCTCACAGGGGGCACTTTTCTTATTTTCTTTCTCTCTGTCTCTCTAGTGAGTGCATATGCCCTCTAGCAAATTTCTAAAAAAAAAAAAAAATTAAAAATTGTAATCTTTGAAAGATATTGTTAAGAAAATGAAAAGACAAGCCATAGATTGGTAGAATAAACAAAATACACATGTGTTAAAATAACTGTATTAGAAATATACAAAGAATTTTTAAAACTCAACAAAAAACAAACATCCCAATTAAAAAGTGGGCAAATGATCTAAGCAGATACCTCACCAAAGATGATACACAGATGGTAAATAAACATATGAAAAGAGATTAATGGCATATGTTATTAGGGAATTGCAAATTAAAACAATAATGAGAGGGGCCAGCAGGTGGTGTAGTGGTTACAACACCAGAGTCCTACATGGTTGACTGCTATTCAAGTTCCAGACCCAATGGTTTGAAAATCACGCCTGGCACATGTGCATGTGTGCCCACAATCCCAAGAGGAGAATGGAAGATAAGGGATTGTAGCATGGCCATGCTCCAGAGGAGTGATTTCTCACTTTCCCTCTCACTGTCTCTCTGCTTCTCTCCGGTGAGCGCACACGCCCTATGGCCAAAACTTTAAAAAGCAAAACAAAACAAAAATAATAATGATAGACCCTATACATCTGTTAGAGTGACTAAAACCCAAAGAACCGAGAATACCAAATGCTGATGAGAATGTGATGAAATGCAAAATGGTACTGACACTTTGTAGTCTGGCAACTCTTTCAAGGCTAAAAAGTCTCATTCAATTCAGCAATTGTTGAATTGAAATGAGTTGAAAACTTCCATCTGCACAAAACCCTGCACGTTAGTGTTTGCAGCAGCTATATATATAATTGCTCCAAACTAGAAGTCACCAAAATGTCCTTCAATAGGTGAATAGATAAACGGTGGTCCATTCATACAACGGAACATTATTCAGCAATAAAGAAAAATGGGTTATCAAGCTATAGATACTCTGAAAGAGACAAAACTGCTGAGGAAAGGTCAGTGGTTGCCAGGGGTTTGGCAGGATAAGTAGATAGATGAATAGATGGAGCACAGGAGATTTTTAGGGTAGTGTAACTACAGGATATAACGTGACAATGGTAGATACATAACGTTTCTATTTGTCAAAACCCATAGAACTGTACAACACAAGAATGAACCCTAATATAAACTATGAAATTTAATTAATAATAATGTATCAATATTGGCTTAGCAATTTAAACAATTGTACCGTACTAATGCAAGATGTTAATAATACAGCAAACTTTGGGTGGTAAAGGATATATGGGAGGTCTCTATATTTTCTACTACGTTTTTCTGTCCCCCTAAATAAAGTCTATTAACAAACAAATTAAAAATAAAGACAGAGGATTATCTTGAAAAGACTTTGAAGGAAGAAAAAGAGACTGATCACAGAATACTTGGTAGGCAGGGCTGAATTGAGAAGGTTTATGTGTGACTAGTGTGCTGGGCATTTGCTTTTCAACAATTTGAGTAGCTAACATGTAAATATTTTCTCAAAAATATTTAAAGCCATACTGTTTCTGCTGTTATAGAGTCACAAAAAAATTATACAAAATTATAAGAAATATTTTGAACATTATCTTTAAAATTCAGTATTTTGAGATTTTGAAAGTTATTAACTGTCAAGAACTATGGAGTATGAGCAGAACTTTTTTTTTGATATGTAAAGTTATTGTGGAAAAATGTAAAAATTAATAAATTAATTAATTTAAAAAATTAAATTAAAAGAACTATAAAAGAGTCTTACAGACAAATAATGTATTTTCTTACTATTTGAGAGGAAGGATGAGTTAAATATTACATATAAAAAAAAAAACAAGCATTTCACAAACTAAAACGCTCCCATTTCTTTTAATTGCCAGAAGGCATATACACTTGCCAGACAGAGATGTAGAAACAGAGAAAGAGAGACAGAGAGGGACAGAACACACCCCAATGGAGCACGGTCATACTGTAATGCCGTCTCCATTTCTCCATCCTTTCGGGATTTTGGCACACAAGCACATGTTCCTGGCATGTTTTCCAAGCTGCTAGGGTAAGGATTCGAACTGCGGTCAGCCACGTGAGATCCAGTTCCCTTAACCATTGAGCTACAGGGCTGAGCCAAAAAATGCTCCCATTTCTTTGCAGAATTATTATTGAGTAGTTGAAAAAGTCATAATGCATTTTTGCACAGAAAAATATGTCATGACCTTCCTGATGAACCAATAATAATGGTGAGGGAAATATTACCCCTAAATATTTTAAAGAATTATTTATTTGATTTTATTCACTATTATCATTTTTTTAAAATTTGCTATAGGGCACATGTACTCATGAGAGAGAGAGAGGGAAAGTGAGAAAGCAAGTAATCAGGTTCAGAACACAAACCATGGTTGGCCATGTGGGTGTCCAACACCCTAACCACCATGCTACCTGCTGGCTTCCCAAATTGTTTTTTTGTTTCTGTTTGTTTATTTCTTCCACAACAGAGAGTGAGAGACTGGGAAAGAGAGAGAGAAAGAGACAGGTAACCCCAACAGGGTTTTCACACCGTGGCTGACCTGAAGCCTCAGCCAACCTGAACAGCAGGCACGTGCATGCACAGCTGACATGGGCAAACCTCTGCAGGTGAGCCCAGGACCTTCCCATGTGGTGAGTCCAGCACTGTAGAGCATTGCATTACCACTGCACTAAGAGCTGGTCCTCCCCCAAAATCATCTTTTAAGTCAATCATTCTTGGACACTTTTTGATAGTTTTTAATATTCTGGAGCCTGATTTCCTGAGTTTGAAAACTGAAAATTTGTATGTAACATTGGTCAAGTTACTTAACCTCTTTGATTCTATTGCCTTATTGTAAAATGAGAATAATAATGGTATTACCTCACAGAGTTGATATATAGAAATACTTAGATAAGCACCTGGCATATGGTAAGCTTTCAAAAAATGCTAGCTATTGGGACCAGCAGTTAGCATAATGGCTATGTCGCTGGGCTCCCATGTAGTCGACCACAGTTCGAGTCCTGGACCTGGCGGCTTAAACTCACGCCAGGTGCGTGTGCATGTGTGCCCAAGATCCCAAGAGGAGAATGGAGGAGAAGGGATTGCGGTGTGGCCATCTCCCCTGGTGGGGGTGATTTCTCGCTTTCTATATCTCTGTCTCTCTCTGTCTTTCTGGTGAGTGCACACACCCTGTAGCAAAAACCTCTACCAAAAAAAAAAAAAAATGCTAGCTATCAACACTGCTAATTTAATTAAATTATTAAAATAGAATTTTATTTATCAACAAGTTAACTACATAAAAATCCTAATTATGATTCACACTTATAGAATGTG